CGTTCCCTCGGGGAACCATGGTTACATACGTAACCTAGAGACGTAATTTACTCACCCTCAAGTTGTTCCAAACCTGTATGAGTATTTTTTCTTCTGCTGAACACACGAGAATATATTTTCAAGAAAACTGCTGGTCCCCTTTGACTTCCATAATATGGAAAATACAAATACAATGGAAGTCAGTGGAGACCAGCAACCATTTTAACCATTATCCTAGACATTTTTTTTTTTATTAGTTCATGTTAAATAATGTAGTTAACCCAGATAAAAACAGGGCCATATACTCTTACATATACTGTACTATTTCCATCTGGTAGACAAATGTAAGTCATGCTTTTGCTTTGTGTGAAAAACAGACTAAAATATCACTCAGTCTTCCCATTTGAGTCAAAATGAGTCGAAATGCTAAATGTTAATAGTGCTGAACTCATATTTAACCAGGAGCATTCCCTAAATATTAATAAATAAATAAAAAGGTTCTCATGGCTATGAGAGAGAGGCATGATGCTTCACCTTTATTTATTCATACTCCAATAATTATATAAATTCAATTAATATTATGAGCTGTTTCAGTGCAAACAAAAATGTACAATAAAGTCAGAATACAGTTAATTAAACAAACAAACAGTTTAATGGTAGTAAGGAAACTTCAACAAAACAATTATCATTCATATTATCACTCATTACTAATAAATGACTTAAATTTGCATGCTTGGCACAGTATGCTAAAATTTGTAAAAATAATTTTAAGATATCTATTGCCAAACACACATTTTTTTTTTTTTAAGATTTATTTATGGTGTTTTATGCCTTTATTTAGATATGACAGTATAGGTCGACAGGAAGTGAAGTGGGTGAGAGACAGAGAGATGAGATCAGGAAAGGTCCGCAAGCCGGGACTTGAACTCGTGACGCCTGAAGCACAATGGTGCTGCGCTGCCCACGAGGCCATCGGCGCCAACCAAACACACATTTTTACATAGATTTAACATTTGGTATTTATGCACAGGTCGTCTTCCATGACTGTTGAATAATACACTATTGAATAAATTGTATGGTCTGCTTCAGAGGCAGATGATCTATCTAATACATGAACTTTTCCACAACCTGTATGATTGCTCTGTTGGGCACCTAAGAGATTTAGAATAGAATAGATTTAGAAAGTGACTTGCATACAAAAAAATCATACGGAGGCTACAGTCATTTATTTTTAATTAAGGCAGACGTACCCCTTTTACGCTTCTTGTAAGAGCAGCATATTACAGAAACTGCTGGGAAAACCAACACTGATACACCAGCGATGACCAAGATCCAATGGAGAGGAAAAGAACCATCGTTTTCGTTGGGATACTCTGCTGAAATTAAATCTTTCACATTAACAATCATCAGAACAATCATATGCTAAAATTAAAGATATTTTGTAGTATTTTATTTTGAGAATAAACTGCTAAGAATTCAAATATGAATGATGTAAGAGTAGTTATTTACGTTCATGAGGTGTGCAAAGTTGGTTAATCTCTATTATGTCATTCTTCCAGCTGACTGGGTTGCTGTAGTTACAAACAACTACGTTATCTATACAATACAGGGCTAGAGTCTGGATTCCAAATGATTTCACTTTCTCCTGAGTGCAGTTGTTGCTGTGGTGGATTTCTCTGATTGTATGATCACGCCCACTGCATGAGATGTCCACAATACAGGCGTTAACACTTATTCTGGTGACATTCCAGTTCAGAATAGGAGAATCCACTGGATCTGAAACATATAGAACACTTTGCATGAAGCTATAGGTTACAGTTTTTTTTTTAATTCGCTAGGACCCATTTCTCAATACTTAGGTAACTTTTTAAAAACTCCTCACACAGTGAGTACAACAGCACTCTATGTGGGATAAACTGTGGATAATTGTTTTTGTTTTTTTTGCCACAATACATTCAGTCACTAAATCTCTCAAATTGCTTATTCTTTTCTCACTCAGACACAACCACCACTGCCAAAACTCTATGGACCTACAGGCAATTTGCACATTTACATGCTCTTTTTAAAACTGTTAAACCTTAGTTCAAAATCTAACAAAAACTCAATAACAGCAATTCAATATATATATATATATATATATATATATATATATATATATACAGGGGTGTGA